CTTTATTCTCTTGTAGAAGCTTTTTTACACTTCACTAGGGAATTCTGGCACATTTTCCAAGTGAGTGTGAGCCATTGAAGAACATATTTTGATTAATGAGTTTTATGGAGGATATGGTCCCCGCCCCCCCCCCCGCATATAGTGCCCCCTACAAATTCTGCTTAGAGAGTGCAGTTTATCTACTGTGAAATAAAAGGGCAGAAAGGTCACTTGCTATAATTAAAGAACAAAGTCCATTGTTGTTGGACAGCAAACTGTTTTGAAAGCTACATAAGGGATTTAGCTGTTAAAAACGTTGGGAACTAAGGGTGGTTCCCAATCAGCATTGATTCAGCTCCTTTCTTTTCTGTAGGCTTCCTTGGAGGGTGACAGCGCTTTTGAGGTGGGTGCAGAGGGGCTGCCCTCTCCCCAAGGAAGTTTTCTGTGAGAACCCGTGGAAGCTTGGAATACTTGCGTGACCAAGCACATGACTGGGTATTGAGCAGAGTATTTGAAATCTGCTGAGTTTGCTGGAGAAATTTTAAAAATACTCACAACAGATCAGGATTGTTCTACACGAGATAAATACTGTTTGGCAACTTTTAATAACTTTGCAAATAGTCTGTAAAAAAAGGGGGGGGGCAGGGGGGAGGAGAGATTGATTGCCCCAGTGTCATGAGGTTAAGAATGCTCTTCAAGTGAAATTGCTTGGCTGCAAGATGGTTTTAATTAGAGTGTTATAAAGACTTATTTTTCCTAAGCAGCATTTTATAGTTAGTAAATGAAATGTATGCCGAAAGTGCTAAGCAGAAATCTCCCTAACCACAGAGGTGTTCAATAACCAGATTCCAACAACATGGAAAGAACCATCTGTTCTTGGTTTTCAGCATGAAAAACAAGGATTGAATAGCTGAGATTTGCTCCAATTTTGACTGTGTCTCTGTGTGCGTGTTTTTTTTTAATTTAAAAAAGTTCACCAGGTACTTCATAGGAACTTGAAATTGCAGTAATATGAGCAACACTGTGAAAACACATGTTCCGACATTTATTTTAACCAGTTCTACTTTTATTTAAAAGATTTCCAGAAGCCCAGCCATTGAACACTTTATAATGGTTATTCAGTTCCTGCAGGCAATCACAACGAGGGGTCAGTTTCTTCAAAGATCTAACTATTTAGTCAGTACCTGAATTATTTTGTCAGTGTTCCACCCTGAAGGTGGCTGGGAGGGGGGGCGAGCAAGGGCTCTCCCGGGCTAACTCTGGTCAGCATTTGTCGGTTAATCTAATTGTATGTGTTAGCATCCTGGACTGGTGTTTGCTCTCCACAGACCTTGCTCAGGTTCAGAGCTCTTAGGCTAGGATTGCAGATAATGAGGAAAATATTCTCTTAACGATGGTAACTTTGGAGTCCTTGACTTTTAGATGCTAAGCTTCTGGGTTCTGGTTTTCCTAAGAGCCCTGGGTAAAACATTATCCGGCCTTTGTTTGAGGTCTTTTATAGAAGCTAATGACCGGGCTTGTGCCTCCCTGAGATAAATGACATTATCTCTGAGTGGGCTGACAGGAAACAGACATGTTAATGGTGAAGCTGCCGGGAGGATCTGCCCGGGTTCTGACAAAAGAGTGGAGAAGGGACCCCTGGTTGTGGTCATTAACACATCATGCATTCTTGCTCCTCCTAAGAGGCCCTTGATAATTGGAAAGCCATTTTAGCCACAAGCACTTAAATCATAAAGTGACTACTCCCAGTTCCTTTGCATTCTTAAAAGTAGCAGAGCAACGTGTTTTTTGTTAACAAGTGTGATCTGGTTTTTTAAAATGGTGGCAGTTCTGGGCAGTGTGGCAGTGACGTTTGGGAGGACTGCACATCCCAGTTTTTATCAGATGAACTCTCTGTCTTTCACCATTGCTCAGTCATCCCTCTAATAAACCAAGGAGGGGGGTACAAAAAATGAGAAAGAAATCATTTGTATACTTGAAGAGGTCTTGTGGGAGAGGGATAAAAATCTCTTTTTTACAAGTTGGGGAAAAGATTTTGCTCAGTGATTTTGCATGTGATGAAACCTGCCATTTGAAGTGTATGTTTAAAAAGTCATGGGTGTAATTGAGTTTCAATGCAGTTTCGACTCTCTGCTTCTTGAACGGAGATAATTGCCTTGTTGAACACACTCTAGAGGTGTAGAAGAGGTGGAAGGATCATGTTATTCTATTCTTTAATATTAAGCATTGGAAGTTTTTCACGGTAATTACTGTAGCACAACATAGTTTCGATTGCCAGCACTCTGAACGTACCAGTGATCTGAACATAAAGGGTTTTTGCGTGAATACTAAACAGTTTATTCTTAAATTACTTGTGTTGCGTTCTTGTAGAACATGGAAGCCAGAATTAAGGCAATACTTCTTAGCAACATCGGAGTGGAAATAATCTTTCTTCCCTAAGACTGTTGTCAATAAATAATAATGCCCTCTTAATCTGTACATTTAAGGTTATAGGGAAAGAGAACAGGTGACTTCTCTGTCCCAAGAATGACTAAAGTCATCATCATTACAAGCCATAGAGGGATCATACTGGGTAGTACCCTGTGACTGCTATTTATTTCATAGGTGTGTATATACATGTTTTAATTGCATAGATAAATGTTGGGTTGGGGGTGGATTGGGAGTATTTAGTTAGTGTGGGCTTTGTTCTTTAAAAAAAAAACAACCCACCATTGATTTTTCTATTCCACTCTCCTGCAGAGTAATTGGCCTCACCGTGTCCATCCAGGTCCCACTCCCAACTGAAGTTTCTTTAGTGACTTCTTGCTTTCTGTTGCAATTTCTTTTTCATTTAAGCTGAAGGTTTTGGCCGTTGGAACAACGCGTTTGCAGCTGAATGAAAGACTGTTAAACAATTCATAGTAGATTGACCATCAGTTGGGCTGTTTGTAATGTTACTTGGAGTGCTTAAAGGATATTCAAGACGGGGAGATTGGCACTTTGCTCCTGAAGCTGAGTTTTGCGTATCTGCTAGATTTCGGTTAGAAATACCTTTGGAAATGTATTAAAGTAGATGATGGGTTTTGCCTGAAGAATTGAAGAGATTACAAAGCAAATACTTCTATTTTGATAGGTCAGTGGTCCTTGAACCACCGGGAACTTGTCTGGTACTCAGAAGGCTTCCCCCGTGCCCCGTGAAGCTAAATGAAATGTTAAAACTATATATTTTCGTTGTAATAGAGACCTCAAAGGGAAGGGTGTTTCGGTTAAAACAAATGGGCTTGAAGTGATGAATAAATACTATTGCTGGTTTTTCAAAGCTACCGTTTCTTCTTTCTCATCCCCACCTCCCAGTCCAGTTTATTATTCACTGTGACTGTTTGAGCTCAGCCACTGAGCTTTTTGCGATTCCTGGGAATCCTCCTCCTCAGCAGCACCTTAAAAAAAAATGTGCCTATGAGAACACTGAGGCATATTCCAATAATGCCATATGAATGCAGCGTTCACAGTTTAAAAATATATTGATGATATATTGTGTTGTACATAATGCTTTCAGAAAGCAGGTATTTAGGTTGTGGAATCGGCTTATTATGTTAACCAGAGAGCAGATGGCATGGTGCCACAGACGTATAATTTTACTTAAAGGGACTTTTAAGGTTTTGATGTGTTTTCTTTTCCTCTTATTTCCCCGATGGCTTCTTTTTATTGAAGGGTAACTTAAGGAGACCTGGTAGCAATTTTACTGCCTTCCCCTGACAGTTTGAAATAATAGCTTGGTCTTTGGTTGCACTGATCTTCTACCAGTCAACTTGATTCTGGTTTTTGTCATGTGGCAGTGAATTAAAGGAAAAAAAAGTGTTTGTAGTATGTTTTAAGAAATGGACTCTTTTATATGCTTCAATTAGCAACAGACGACACAGTTCCAATTGGTCACACTTTCATAAACTCCTAGAAGTCACTGTTCGTCCTTCTGATTAAAGAAAACTCCTGGTTTGGTTTCTTCAGGAAAGCACATCTGGCCCTCTGGCAGCTTTAGACCCACTTTTTTTGTCTTTCGCATCAGTCACGGAAGGTTCAAAGGTCCTGTCTAAGTTGTTCCTTTTTTAGGTTAGCAAGCTTTCACCATACTGGAGGGCTGTACTTTTTTTGGTGCCTATACCTACCACGTGCTTGAATTCACTTGGCCTAAAAGTACCATTTGTTTCTCTGCCTGGGTTTTACAGTTTTATCCATTCTTCACTTAGACCATCATCAGGCTGAGTTGGAAAGCATCTCTTAACTTTTTTTTTTTAATACAAAGTGTGCATAGCCAGACCAGATTACTTTTGGATTTCCTGTCACCTCCTTGGCTGATTTATGGATGGCTCATGTTAAAAGCAACAATAATGTTTGAATTGGAAGGGTTGAAGCCTCGGGTTTTCATTCTTCACGGAGAACTGTTTATTTGTGTGTGGTTTACCACAGTACATGGATAATGCTATCAAATCTGTGCTTTATTATAGGCTTATGACGAACACAGCAGCACTTCAGTGATGTCTTTCTGCCTTTTCGTTCTTTGCCAATTCTTTTGTGATGGAAATGAAATGAGAACTGCATCTTTGCAGCCAAGGGGAAAATAGGCACAACAAATAGAAACTGTCCCTTGAGCCAGTTCAGAAGTAAGCAGTGGTGATTTAAGAAACATTTTTCTCCAAGTAAGTGAAATCCATGGGGGAAAAAAAAGTCCTCCAATGGAACTTTTCCATGAAGATCTGTGGAAGATGAGCCGCATATTTTGAAAAACGGAGGCTGTTCCAACAACGAGGCTTTATCCCTTTATATTGTTTCCCCTCTGAAGTAACTGAAAAGCGGTCCACCCGTTCTTCAGACCTTTCCCAAACCTTTCAGCTGCTTTGAAGGTGGAATTTGAGTTCAGTGATATTGTTGGCTTCTGCTCCCCAAAGGGAGCAAACATGATTTTAAAACAGAGCGGTTGAGCTTTTCCGCATCAAACTCCATTTGGCCAATTGTCTCCATTTACATTCCGTGCCCAAATCCTTCACCAGCCTTTCCCATGATGCCGCAGCAGATGCCAGACACTGAAGTAGAAAGCGAGCAGCTGTTTCCATTACTCCATTGCTGTATTATCCTCCACAATCTGCTTTCTTTCTCTCTCCCCTCCCCCCTTCAAAAAGAACCCTCCTCTCCCTCCGACGTTGGCCTGCTCGGGTTCATCAGCCTGCAGTCTCTCTCTCTTATCAGGCCCCCTGATTTCCTGCGAAGGCCGGGTTTATTGGTTGGCGCGAGGTGGGGGCAGATGGAGGGCCTGGGCCCCCCGGGGGGCGTGGCCGGGCTGCGCGCTCCCGATGGCGGGGGCGCGCAGCCGGGGCCGCGCCCTCCTTCCCTCCCAGGACCCGTTTATAGCTCTGAGCGCTGTAAATCTGTCAGCTCTTCACGACGCCTTCACCTCTTTCTTCATTTGCTCCGGCTTCTAGTTTGACAACGTTCCCCTGAGGCGGAATTCTAATCTGCTTCCAATTAGTTGCAAAATGTGACTGAAATTTCCACATTATGACTGCTGTTTTACTTGCAAGCACACATCTAGAAACAAATTAATGCTCTTGAATATTTATTTTTTGGGCGCTTGGATTTACTTTAAGAGGAAGAGTTTCCAACTCTTTGGATGACTTCCAGGATTTGCATCCCCCCCCCCAAAGCCTTATATACTGGGTGTGTGTGTATGTGTGTGTGTGTATATATATATATATATATATATATATATATATATATATATATATATTAAGCACAAGTATAGTAGGGTTTCCACTCCGTCTCTTAATAAGCCTTTTCTATCTTTTCAACATTTCTCAAAATGTGTTACGTATGTTTAAATTACACAAATACATTTTGTAGTATTTCTAAAATAAACAAAGCAAGAATGTTTGCCCAAGTTTAATGGAAGGTTCCTCATGCAGTGTTTTAAGAGAACCCAAATACACACAAATTTACTTCTAAATATAGCTTAAGTATATTTGGCCAAAACACAAAAGACTTGTTACACACTTTTAAGTTCTTTTGTTTGCTATTCAAAAGATAAACAAATTGGACGATTAATTGGCTTAACAAATATAAGGGCAGCATGAAAGATGTCACTCTGGACACAAACATTATCCTACAAGTTTGTGCTTAGATGGAGCACACCTTCTGGAAGCCATTGGAATTCGGGGGCTGTGGTAGGCACAGTGGATGGCTCCCTGACTTCACTGCCTCTTAGCCTACATAATCTATGTGGTTGTGGGGTGGTTGTGCTTTGAGGGAGGTCAATCACCCCATCTCTCTCTCCTCTTTAGTGATTTTTTTTCCCCCCAAAGGTATTGATCCATCTGATTTTATGTAAATATTAGATTTGTTTAAATCTTGGTTGCTGGGAAGGTCAAATTTAGCTTTATTTACTACTTGCCGAAAAACTACTTTCTCATGTACTGCAATTTTAGTACCAAAGCATTGGAGTGTCTCGGGTTTAGTATTTGCAGAAAGGTGGTACTCTTAAAGAATGTAAACAGCCAGATTACTGTTGTATTTTATAGTAGTGTTCAGTCCTCAGCATCTTGGCAGATTGATATCAACAGTAATAATAAGCTTTAAAGAGGTGTGAAGGAATTTATTGATGGTCAAGTGGTTATGTTGATCACATTACTTTGTATTAGTTTCTAAATAACACCTTCACATGTAAATAGATCCTTTTTTTTTTTTTGTCTGCAGCATGGTCACCGGTAATCATTAAAAGCTCTGTGTTGATTGATTTATAATATCCTTTTTGAATGTGCTATTTTCCATCTCCGTAACCAGGAGGTGGAGCATTTATTTTACTATGTTTAAAAAATAAAACTTATTTTGAATGATGTATTCTGTATAAAATATAAATTATTTAAATTTCTTGATTTAAAAACTTCCAGCTGTGGCGGAATTCCACAAAAGAGGTAGGCACGCTCTTTGTATTGCTGCCTTTCTTCTTAGTCCATGATTTGTTGGAGTAAAAATGGCCAGAATGAAATCTTTCAAAATTTAAAATGTGGGCCTTTCAGATTGTAGAGACCTCCTGGGTTAAAAAGAAAAAGAGAAAAGAGTTGCTCCACAGTGAAATGCTGACAATGGGCTCGATTGTGCTGGCCCCTCGAGTCCAGGGGTTCACTAATTACCCTTTAATGAGGTCGGTCTGCCCCAGCCTTTTCCCTACCTTGGGAGGAAAAGCACACAAGACAGTTGGAGTTCAAGTGGATCTTGCTGTATTTGCAGCTTAGCATAACTGCTTTGAAGGCCCCCAGGGCGCTTAATTGGGGCTGGGCATTTTTGTTTTGGGGGAGACTCCACACAGCTCCCCATTGTGTGTGTAGAAGCCACGGTGTGTCTTGGAAACATTACATGCTTTTGTTGATAGTGCATAGTTTTATAAACTCCAAGTGAGCTTATTGCCTTTTAACCATTGGGAGCACTAAATAATAGAAGAACCTAGAAGTCTCTGGGTTGGGTAGCCGCCAAGCAGTTTAAAAAAAAAATGAATGAATGGTTTAATTGTAGAGCAAACCATTTGTTTACAGATTAAGATTTATTCAGGCACCAAATCCTATGGACCAGGAGGTGAAAGAATGAGGCTGTAAGGTATAGGAACTGAATGCTCAGTGTTATGTTTTGTGATCGTGCTTAGCTGTTTTTACTCTTGTTTTTTTACAAAAGAAGAATGAATTGTTGAATGGTGAGAACTGCTTGGCCAAGTGTACTTTTTAAGCTGTAAAGAGAGAGGGGAGGAAGGCGGAGGCGGATTGTCATTTCTTTGCTGCCTGATCAGGAAGCTAAAAACTTAAGGTTCTCCGAGTTGAGAGGGGAACACTGGCTGGTGCTGAATTTTCCTGTTCCAATGAGGGGGGCTGGTGATGGTGGTAGTAGAGGTAGGCAGGAAGAAGTGGGGAGAAGGTATGTGGGAAAGGGGTGGTTGGTGGAGAGCCTTTGTTAAAACGGCCCTAGACAGTGCATTCTCTTGAATAACTGGGACCCTTTACAGAAATTCCTCACTATTTCATTAGTTAGTGGCCATGGTACTGAATAGAGAAACTCTCCAGCAACGGCAGTGAAGTGATACATCTTTTTTTTTGATGCGGGGGCGTGGGGGAGCTGTTGCCGGGCAGCCAGAATTTCAGGGTGTCTTTTCTTTCTTTCTTTCTTCTCCACCCCCCCACCCCAAGGTCGAGGCTATATCTTAACAGCAGAAGACCAGAAATCCCGGCATTTGGTCCCATTGTAGTTGTAGTCCTTCTGACCTGTTTGTGAACAGTGGGCTTAAGGAAATCACTAGTAAAGCGTTTTCTAGAAGTTTCATTTTGAACACTCCCAAATTCACTGTTTTTTTTTACGTTAATCTTCCTGGGAGTGAAACCCTTTATCTCAAAGTATTCCTTTGTGTATAAACTGTTGCCCTAATGATAACTTCGGCTACTTACGAGTATTGTTTCTGCATGATACCTGTTTGCTGTTTGGCCATGAAGAAGCGTGTTCATTCAGTAACATTAAAATGTCTTGTTTGTTACTTGATGCATATTTGATAAATTGAACTTTCAGTTATGTTAAATTGGCTTAACATGATCTTGTTTTGTTTTGGTTTTCTCCTTACTAAGTTCTGGTACTGTCATGGCACGATCCTTTTGAAATGGCTTGATTTTCCAGTCTAAACCATGGCTCATAGCTTCATTTTACACATCTTTCTTTTGGGAGGTGGTGAGCAATGGGGGGATTGTAGGAATGAGGAAGCAGAGAGGATGCAAATATTTAGTTCTAAGTGGTTTCAGCCTTGTCAAACTAGTGACTTTAAGGTGCTGTTGTTCATTCAGGATGCTTCTCTATGAACATTTTCTATTTTAGTGAAAAAAGAGACTGGATTTTACTTCTGTGAGCATCCGACATCATTTTTAAAACTTCAGACTTTTAAATCTCGTAAAATTTAGCACTGTGATCGTCACTAAGTAGACTAAACTTGTGTAAATATGTTTTTTAAAAATCACTCTCCCCAATCATGTTTTACTAAGGAGGTACATCCCTACAAATGCTCACCTAAATGTTTTTATTTCTTTGGGTGTAGTCTGACTGTTAATACGTGCTCAGCCCAGGTTTACTGAGCAAACCAAACAAAAGTGCAAAGATAAAAAAACATAGCTCACATTCATATTTATGACAGCCTAGAGGCTTTGCAAGATTGAAATCTCTCTGCAGCTTTAATCCCTCCTGGAAAGTCCCCTTAAGGCTCCGCCCGAAACCACCCTCAAATTGTCAGTACCTCTACAATGTGAATGCTCCTGAGGATTTTAAACGGCACCTACACATACCGTGTATTTCGGTGAGTGACGTCTGTGTTCACGTGTACAGCGAGAACTGGGAACTGGTGCTGAACTTCCGCCCTTGTTAACAAAGGTCCCCCTTGTGTCTGGTTCCTCCTCTCTAACATGTTCTGTATACTATTTTAACTGGATACATTTTTATTGCCGGTATAAATGTGAAACGAAAAATGCTGACCTTTTAAAGATGCTCTGAAAATGATTTTTCTAAACCTGCTTACACCAAAGTCTAGTACTTTCTATTTTAGTTCATATTAAAGACTTAGTTAAAGTCTCCTTTGAAAGGCTGGCATATGAACCCATAAGCCTGCTGTAAATTCGTGGACATTGTTTCCTTGTAAAAACCCATGTTTTCCACTCACCTGGAGTTAGTACAGCTACGGAGTTACTTCTGCTGATATTCCTGTCCAGTTTTAGATTGGGGGAAGTTCTGTACCATCTACAGCTGTTACCCTGTGATTGGCTGATGACACGAAATCACTTACTCTTGTTGGAATTTCAGCTGAAATCTTAAACACATTGAATTTTCCTTTTTTGACCCTTAATAGTGAAATCTGAAGAGATGTGTATGTAGCTTTTCACACTTGAAAAATCTAGAAAATGTCCAGTGTATTCAAATCACATTTTTACTGGTGTTCAACACATAGATACAGATCTCTTCAAATCGCCTCTGAATTTGGTGAGCAGCTTTTCAGCACACACCAGTAGTAGGAGGAAGTTAAACGGGGGAGGGAAAATAGGTACTGTTTTGTCTTTTGTCAGTTAAAAAAGTCCTGCAAGGTTTTTGAAGAATTTCATCTTGGCTCTTTTGTAACTCACTCTGGGGTCTAAGGAGCAATACTCACTGTACAAATATTCTGTGCGACGAGGTCTATTTGCCTCCATGTTATCTGAGCCTGAATGTGCGTGCATAATTGGAGAGATTATTGGAGAGACAGTGTTTTGCTGTGGTAGATGTGGTTTAAGTCCTAGCACTGAGCATAGCATTTACTTTCTCAGCTTACCCACAAAATCTGTGACTAATTTAGTGAATGTGAAGACTGTAGTCCAGATGGTTAGGTTTAATTGTAAAAACTGGAAAGATTTCAAAGTACCCTTTGGGGAAGTGTGGGGGGCGAGGAGAGGGGATCAACAACTGAACAACAAAAGAGAATGAAAAGTGACTAAGTCACTAAATATAGCATATTTGTACACATTTATAAACACACACACACACATATATGTCTGTATATACAGTCAAAGAAAACTTGAAGAATTTATTATACCAGTCAGCATGAACAGCTTCCAGGATCAAGAAGAGAAGTGACTTTTAATGTTTAACGAT